TTATGATTCATATTTTAGTGAATAACCTTAGTAGCAAGTGACCTATGCAGAATTGAAGATATGTTGGTCAACATCTTCTTATTGGACAGTAATAAAGTCACATTGACGTTAGGGAAGTGACATTCATGAATGCTCCAAGTAGCGGGGTAGTTTAACAACGATAATGTCAAGACTAATACAGCATTCTTTGATTAAGAGATCAGAAGAGGAGAAAAAAGGGGCTATGATACTATCACCAGAACACTCCTTATATCAGAAGTAGAAGGACCAAAATCCAGTCTCTTGAAAATTGGTATGCAATCTAGATGTCAGAACAGTGGAGATAGTTTATACTTTATGGCCATATTTGTGTAACTGTATATATTTGGTGTTTTTATTGGTCTGTTTAAATGCATTACACTATGATAATACTGAATAAACCACATCAGGCATGTTACTATTGTTACAACTATACAGTTGTTGAGTCTGGGAGTGTGGGATAGTCGTAGGCCACCGAAACATAAAGAAGCAGGGGTAATGCTATCAGAAGGGGTCAGTGATTGCTAGTAGGGTGAGAGACTTTGAAATAAAAAGGTTGTGTATAGCAGTAGATTTCAGTTTGCTGCAGACAGTGGACGTTACAAAGTGCACACTGAACATTGGTAGAAGAGGAGAAATGGCAGGGCACTGGGATGAGGTTCATGAGGTTTCTGGTAGCTTAGTGTCAGCAGAGGTGGTGAAGGGCCTCTGTTCGGAGAGACATCACCTGCTGCTAGTAGCAAGAGCACAGACAATGACAAGAGTTGAGAGTGGGTTTTGTATGTATGCAGTCTAGAATGAGATTGTTTGGCAGTAGGAGAGAGAGAAATGAGTGCAGGGTGTGAGATTAGAGAAGAGGGGAGTGTAGCAGCGAGGGGGAAATCTGTGGTATCGAGTAAAACAATACCCTTGTCTGGAAAACAAGGTAGGAGGCAAAGTATGGATAATGCACATAGCAAAGTTATAGTTATAAGGGACTAAAGATCTCTACTTGAGGGAGGAATGAGGATTGAACAGGGCCGGACTGGCCCACCGGGATACCTGGAAATTTCCCAGTGGCCCATCGGCACCTGGGGCCGGGCAGACACCTGGGCCTGCTGGTGGCCGCTGGGGGAGGTCTGCTGGCGGCCACTGGGGGAGCTGCACTGGCTCTGCTCCCCAGCGCGCAGCTTAATGAGACCGGTGCTGGAATATGACGTCATATTCCGGCACCGGTCTCATTCAGCAGCGCGCAAGGACGGGAGAGCAGAGCCAGCGCAGCTCCCCCAGCGGCCGCCAGAAGACCTCCCCCTGGCAGGTATTAGTAATGTGTGTCAGTGTGAGTTTGTCTGTCTGTATGGTGTGTGTGTGTGTGTGTATGGTGTGTGTGTCTGTCTGTATGGTGTGTGTCTGTCTGTCTGGTGTGTGTGTGTCTGTCTGGTGTGTGTGTCTGTCTGTCCGGTGTGTGTGTCTGTCTGTCCGTCATGGTGTGTGTGTGTGTCTGTGTCATGGGGTGTTTGTCATGGGGTGTGTGTGTCTGTATGGTGTGTGTCTGTCTGTCTGTATGGTGTGTGTGTCTGTATGGTGTGTGTGTGTGTGTGTGTCTGTCTGTATGGTGTGTGTGTCTGTCTGTATGGTGTGTGTGTCTGTCTGTGTCATGGTGTCTGTGTTTCTGTCTGTCCGTCATGGTGAGTCTGTCTGTCCGTCATGGGGTGTGTGTCTCATGGGGTGTGTGTCTGTCCGTCATGGGTTGTTTGTCTGTCTGTCATGGGGTGTGTGTATGTCCGTCATGGGGTGTGTGTGTGCCTGTCTGTGTCATGGTGTGTGTGTCTGTCTGTGTCATGGTGTGTGTGGGTCTGTCTGTGTCATGGTCTGTCATGGTGTGTGTGTGTTTGTTATGGGGTGTGTATCTGTCATGGTATATGTGTGTTTCTGTATCTGTCATCGTGTATATGTGTGTTTAAAAATAGTGTTTTTGCTCACCTTTTTTTTCCCCCACACAGCGTGCTGGTCTCTCCTCGACTGGCCCTGCCTCTATAGCTGAGATCATCAAGCTTGATGATCTCAGCCAATCCAATGCTTTGCCATAGGATTGGCTGCAAAACGCCACTTCAATCAGCATCTCCTCATAGAGATGCATTGAATCAATGTATCTCTATGGGGAACGTTCAGCACCTAGAGAGTGTGGAGGCCCTGAATGTAGGTGCACTGACACAGGAAGCACCTCTAGTGACCGTCTGAGTGACTTTCACTACCGGTGTCACTTTGAAGCAATGTAAACACTGCCTTTTCTCTGAAAAGTCAGTGTTTACGTTGAAAAGCCTGTAGGGACATGCTATAGACACCAGTACCACTACATTAAGCTGTGTGTGTGTGTGTCTGCTAGTGAGTGAGCTTGCTTGCATGCGTGTGCCTGCTAGTGAGTGAGCTTGTGTTTTTATGTCAATGAGCTGATGTATATCAGTGAGATTGTTTGTCTATGAGGCTGTGTATCAATGAGCTTGTGTGTGTCATTGAGATGTCAGTGAAATTGCCTGTGTCTGCATGTGAGTATGCTTACTGTATAATTAAATGTTTAACCCTGAACGGACCAATATTTTATATTAGAAAAAGCAATATATATAATTACTCAATCATCTGTCATGGCAAGACATAGCCTTACATATTACACACGACAATATATGGCGCAGTGACTTATGAGGCTGGCACAAATTTTTTTCCAGGGCTGCTTTGTATCCCCAGTCCGGCCCTGGGAGTGAAGATGTTGATTATCATCAGGTTTGAGTGCAAAGAAGAAAGGGGGGTTGAGAAAAAGGGCATTACATGAAACCCTGGTGACGTTCTTTCTCAATTCATGTGTCTACCGTGAGAGGATCATTGGAAGCGCACAAAGCTTGGGATATTCTGGTGTGCCTACAGGTAGTGCGACAATTGTAGATTATGCTACCATAGTGTACTCATCTTAATTTTAGTAATGGCAGGAGTCGAGTATTTTGCATAAATTTCTTTACTATAAATCTTCAGCAGCACAGATCAATCATAAAAAACTTAACCAATCAAAAATAAGAGTCAATATAGGTACTATAAGATAGGACTGCCCCCCTACTCCTCCTCTTTTTTTATGTGAACGTAAATAGTCCATTTAACAGAAACTGAGAAAACTGTAGAACTTGATACACCTTCTGGTAACTTTGTACGTAGCGTGTAAGGAAGTAACATTTGCAGGAAAACCGATGAATTATTTCATACTGAAAATAAGAAGACACAAGTGAAAGGTACTTGTAATGAACTGTAGGCAACATAAACACTGTTGTGTATTAGACATACCATACTAGCTGTATTAAACTGTTAGCAGTTAAAAACAAATCCTGGAGAAACTTACAAATCAATGATCAAATCCTGACCTAATATGTCAACGTGAACTTATCAAAAAGTACTGTCCAAACTATAAAACTTCTATTCTAAATTGTTAGTAGAAATAGAAAAACATACAGAGAGATATATTAGAGGGTAGGGAGATAAGGGAGGGAAAATAATCGCCTACTGTCATTGCTAAAATTAAGAATCACAGAGACCAACAGGCTCAAATAGAAGCAGATCAGGCTTAAAGAGAAGCAATGCCCACCATGAGACTACAACTGGTTGCCAAGATAAAAACAACACCGAAGGACATTAGTAAGCTGAACCAAATTCAAAGGTGGAAAGATCAAGGATAGATGCTGGCTACTGAGAAGGTACAATTATATGACCATACCAAAGGCACTGGAAACAGCTAAGCAAAGACTGACAGCACTGGCAACCAGACTGAGCAGATACACCAGAGAAGCAGAGGCTGAAGTGAATCAATTTCCTGTTTATCAAAGAACCATCCAAGGTGTATGCACAGCTGCAGGTTAACCACCACATATCAACCCAAAACTCACCCAGAGCACCCAGACTGAACCCATCCAGTACTATCTGTGAGAACGAAGCATCAGATAACACCAAGGCCCAGTGGCTACTAGACTTCAAAGAAGACCACTACATGCTGCCACAACAGGAACTAGTCACCATCACAGTGGGTGATATCCAGCATAGAGTAGCCCACATGAAGAGTTGGTCAGCCCCGGTACCTGACATGATCCACCAGCTTCTAGCAACTAGCTATCACCCTGACTGGATAACACAAGGCAAAACAATAGTGGTCATGAAGGAGCCTCACAAGGGAATAACACCATCTAACTACCAACCAATCACCTGCCTCCCTACAACATGAAAGGTCCTGTCAGGCATCATAGCCTCCAAGGTGGATGCGCATATGAGTTAGTACATTAGCAATGCTCAGAAGGGGTATGGAAACATCACCAGAAGATCAAAACACCAACTACTGGTAGACCAAGCCATCACACATTATTCTAAGACCAGACAGACCAATCTGTGCACAGCCTTGATTGACTACAAAAAAAGCCTATGACACAATGCCACACAAATGGATGCTCTGTACAAGGTCAACAAGACAATCTGAGCCTTCATCAAGAACTCGATGAGCAAGTAGAAAACAAATCTAGCAGCCAATTCCAGGACAATAAAAACATGTGGCATATACCAAGGAGATGCACTATCCTCAATGCTTTTCTGCATAGGCCTCAATCCCGTTAACCAGATCATCAAGAAGAGTGGATATGATACATATTCAAGAGTGGATCTATTATCAGCCACTTACTCTACATGGACGACATCAAGCTGTATGCCAAGAATGAGCGGGACATTGACTCACTGACTCACCTAACTATGTACAACATAAGTGTGGCAGATGACAGCATAAAAAAGATGATCAGGACAGAAGGAGTTCAAGTACTAGAAGGTCAAATAGGAGATGTAGAGAACAGCTACAAGTATTTGGGGGTACCACAAACACATGGCAACCATGAGGAAGAGGCAAGGAGAATAGCATCATCGAAGTACTTCTAGAGAGTGAGACAGGTTCTAAAGTCCCAGCTCAATGGAAAGAACAAGATACAAGCCATAAACACATATGCCCTACCATGCTGGAATAATAACCTGGCCAAGAGAAGAACTGGTCACCATGGATGTAAAGACCCAGAAACTACTCACTATGAATGAAGGATTGAACCCAAGATCCAACACCCAGAGACTGTACACCAGCTGGAAGAAAGGAGGTTGAGGCCTGATGAGTGTTAAGGCCACAGTCCTGGATAAAACACAGAGCATTGCATCCACAAGTACATCACAAAAATGGCTCCCAAAGAGGAACTGCTAAGGGAATGCCCAAGACTTCAACAGACAGAGGATGTAGAAAAGAAGGAGGTTCCATGGCAAGACAAACCTCTCCATGGGGTGTACCACCGGTAGATAGTGGATGTGTCTCACATGACAAAATCTTACCAGTTGAAAAGTCAGTACTGAAAGACAGTACTGATGCATTAATCCTAGCAGCAAAGGAACAGGCACTTGGCACAAGATCAATAAAAGCGGGAGCCTACCAGGCAAGACCCAGGGTGCAGAGATAGCAAAAAGGGTAGTTGAGAATGACAGGGCTAAGATCCTATGGGAATGCCAGATCCAGACAGACAAGCAAGTGCTTAGCAAAAAAAAAAGTAGTATAAAAAGAGTATAATGCACACACTAAAAAAGGGGGAATACTTCCAGCAATGTGCTTCAGAAAGGGAGGGCCAATCCCTGGAGACATCAAATGGGAAAAAATAAATATCCAGGCACGCCTGAGGTTTCTTCTAAAATGCAGTCTTTTTATTTGGAACAATAAAGTGGAGACAACGTTTCGGCTCCTCTCTGAGCCTTTATCAAAACTTGTGTGTGTATATGTAAACTCTTGGTGGGGAAAAAAGTTATTGAAAACCCCTTCCACCTGAAGTCAGTGGATAGTCATACATTGTTAAATACATATCTGTACACCAGTCAAGCCATACTACTTGCTTTTCCCACAGAAATCTAAAATTTGCCATGACGTTGCTACTGCAAGGGATTCTTGGTGGGCATATGCAAGTGTTTCTGGGTAAGTATATGCAAATTAGTTCAACAAAGAGTCACTTTTTGCCTCATTATTCCATTTTAAACATGCGTTCCTTGAAGTATGTTTGCTGTACATAACAGCTCAGGAAGAAATGCAAATCCAGTGGTAACTCAATGGTTAATTTGAACTAATAGAGGACTTGCAATTTTCCAATCGCAGGTTTCTGCTAAGCGTGCCTCATTTTAAATGTAGTTTAGGAAATACAATTTTAGAAATCAGCTTAAAGTCTCTACACAATAAAACTTTGTAATTTGAAAGAAGGTTAGCATATTACACTCAGTTATTAATCCTACGTAGAAAGGACAGTAAATCTATCTGCTCTATGATACATGTGAATTTAATCTTCCTCCTCAAAGTGCATTGCTGGAAGAATCATTTGCCAAAGTGAATGTTTCATGTCTCATAACTTATACATCAGGATTCAGTGTATTTGGACAAGAGCCACAACCGCAGCATGTATTCTGTGTTACCCTCCCTGAACACTAATAGTCAGTGTTATTAGATCACTATCCTCAAATGAATGGAAGCAGATTTGGATAAGACTTGAAATTCTACATGATACACAGTTATAATACAAATGATTTATGGGTCACATGGCACCAGTACTGTACGAATCTATATTAGTACCTCATTGGATCACAACAGCGGAAATCTCCTAGCGCTAAATAAAAACGCAATATATTGCAGTTGAACCTTGGGTATATTCTTGATGACCTTTAACAATATTAATACATTTTTATACATGTTTCAGGGCTGAGCCTCATTTCCTCCTATTCGTACATCTTCCGAGCTTACCATATCTCACTAATCTAAGTGGTTTATACCTGTTATATTGCTTGTGTAGTTGCTGTACGGAATGTTTCTTGTGCACCCTGTCTGTATTTGATATATTTATCTGTAGTGAGTATCTAATGGTACGTTGGCTAGACGAGGAGTCTTATTGAAACCACAGTCAGATTTTCATCATGTGTCCTCTTGATGCCCTATTCACAAACTGACACTTTCGTGGCTGAAATCTATAAATGTATAGACCTCTTCTGATCCCATGCTGCTCTGCTTTCTGTCTACACATCAGTTTGGCTGTGATGAATTCAGACCAAACATGCTCAATAGAGTATTTTGCACAAACTTACTCAGACTTCCTGCACTATTTAACCCCAGAATCTTACTGAATGTACACATACATTGTAAGACGGGGTTTGTTTTGTTCATGGTTTTACATTTGATTACTTTTTGATATAGCCATAGCCAGTGCAGGCATAGGCAGAGGTTGGGGAAGCATTGTCTAGCTGCCAAGTTCTCAAAGTAACTGGTATTTGTAGAGGCAGATAAATCGGTTTGATGCGATACCTGCTCTCAAGGTAACCAATATGCAGGCTGCCTGGGTATTACATGTATATTGACATGGGCTCTAGACACACAATTAACCAATACTTTTTAGGGCTTACGTCTGTTCTCTCTCTCTCTAATGATAGTTTCTTGGCCTAGTAGGAAAGGCTATTTTGAAATCCCTGTTGTGGTAAGTGAAGGCTTTAGAGAGAATCTTGTCATTTGTAATGCTGTTGTAGGTCATAGAATGTGACAGCAGATAATTACCATTCAGCCCACCTAGTCTGCCCAATTTTTTTTAATACTTTCATTCGTTAATGGCCTTACCTTAAGTCTAGGATAGCCTTATGTCTATCCCACGAATGTGTAAACTCCCTCACTGTATTAACCTCTACCACTTCAGATGGAAGGCTATTCCATGTGTCCACTACCCCCTGTAAAGTAATACTTCCTGAAATTATTTTTTTTGTGGTACCTGGTCAGACTTTTAGTATACAGAAAAAGAATATAAGAACTCACCTGATGAAATATCAAATATGCCAACCATGGATATAACATAGAAAGTCCACTCCACACTATAAAGGCTATATAATGCCATGTAGAATATTATCTGGAATTATGTAGATACTGTTACATTATAACTCTGTAGAGGCAGGCATTCCATTGGGTCATAGCAAATCCCTTCAGCAATAACATGCATTTAAACCAAAACAAACAGTGTAGACTTCCTGAACTTATTTTTACACCTTTGTCCCTCTAATTTAAGACTATGTCTTCTTTTAAATATAGTCTCCTCCTTAAGTGTTCCTTAAAAAAAAGAAGTTACTCTAATCCAGTGGTGTGAGGGTCCTTACTGTTGCACTGCACCCCCTACTTCCCCCCCATAGAGAAGCATTGGAGGCCTTGAGGGTATTTGTCAATGCTATGCCAATTGAGAACCATTGAAACTAATGGGAATTACTGCTTTCCATTTGCTCAACTGCTCAAAGACAGCCAGGAGGGTGCAGGATTTTATAAAATGTGTAAATTTCTCTTTTTGGTTCCCTTGCATCCTGACTCAGTGCTGAGAGGATGCGATAGACAACACATTGTGGAACTGCAAGAAATTCCAGGAATTGTCCCTCAAATTGCAACTCACAGAAGACATCCTGCTCTCCACTAAGAACCATGAACTGAAAACTGCATCTCCCAAACTCCTTTCCTTTTCCACAAAAGTAGGCAAAACTAAATATATTTCAAATGTGTGATGATTTAGGTATGTATGCAAATTTATACATGGATGCAAGTGATGGCTAAACATGAATGGCACCTCACATCCAATCCCTCAACCCCCCCCCTACCCCACCAAATAAAAAACAAACAAAAACAAAAAAATCACGTTAAGACTTTCCGTAACCCAATACCCTTCCTGATACCACTCACCCTCCTCTCGCTCCAACCTCTACATATTAAATTTAAATAGTCTTCACCTTTATTATTCTGACGCCTAAAACAGCTGGTCAATCTTGGTCCAACTCTGTAGAGAAGTAGACATGGGAAGGGACAACTTACTTGTAGACATGTCCTAACAAGATCTCTTAATAAAGACTTGATTTGAGTATAATGAGATTTTCTTAAAGGAACACTCCAAGCAGACTGTAGTAGTATGGCTCTAGTGGTGCCCTGGCACCCTCCACCCCCAATATAGTCAAACTATATTGTCTCTGTCCAGCTAGAAGCTTCCAGTGGCCAAGTCATACTGTGTAGGGAATTGGCTGGAAGCATCAGCTAATCAATCTCATCCATTGAATTAAATCTTACATCACAGGGCTTAGCTTAGAGAGCTTCTGTTTCTCTGAGAGGCAGAGAGTGGTGCCCAACAGAGCCTAAGTAAAAGTTAAACTAATTTAAAATCATTACAGTGCATGGTAGTTGTTGTAGAGCTCGGAGTGTTCCTTTAAAACCATGTGAATTGGAGGGCCTTCACATATTCAATTACATTTTCAGAAATGGCAGGTTGTAGTTAAAAAAAATATCCAATACACAAAAAATACTGAGGACGAAGTGATTTGTAACATTTTATATACATTTATGGCTTCATACAAAGGATTGTTCTTGTGTCTGTAAGTACATCAGGCACTTGTCTGCAGAAAACGACCCATGAATCGTTAAAGGAATATGAAAATGCTGCAATGCCACAAATATAAAAAAATATAAAGCAGTTTTTACATGCAACTATTCGCTATACTGCAGTTTTATTGTATCTATGAAAAATGTATGCTGGTTAAAGCCAAATTATTTTACTTGCAAAAACCACTTTGTAGCTTCTAATATATAATACAGTATTAAAAGGGAAAAAAAAATAATCAATCATCATAAATTAAGGGATTAACAATTGTATTGAAAATATGAATATGGCATTAGCGTCAAATGTACAAATACTATTTCCAGTGGTTTCACAAGTGCAAATGTTATATACAATTTTTAACATTGGTCCAATCCATAACTTTCAGACTGTCAGAGAAATGTACAGCAGTTAGTCCTGCAGATAAAGCTAATTGGTGTGATTATTCACCAATCTTTATATTAAATCAAAACACGACATAAAAAACACCAATAATTTGCTCTTACACAGCTATAATTTGTTTAGTGGCAATGGGCCGTATGGTCAATGTGACAGGAACACAAAACGACATTGGGCTAATTGAAAAAAAATTATCCATTAAATCATTTCACTATTGAACTTAATCCAACTCCAAACTCACAGAACCACAACCACAAAATCAGTTGCAGGTGGAAAGGGGGTAAAAGGGGCGGGCCAGTGGTGCAATTGCGGAACTGGCCCTGCCCCAAAAGGGGGTAGACTTGCTGGGAAAGGGAAGCCAAAATGTGAATGGTTGGGAGGCATAACTTAAGTATCTGTATAATTTACACCACTAAATTACATAAGGATAGATATTAAGTTTAATCAAAGCAAAACCTGCCAACTAAAAAATTCTAAATATCTGACATCATATAATCAATAATATTTTTATTTACTTTTTTAAATTTCTATCTACTCTTAAGCATAATGGTAAACAAAATGGGAGAACTTCTAAGCTATGTTTACATAAGTATAATTAGAACAGTTTTCATACAAGATGTGCAAAAATTTTCACAATGAAAGGAGCGGGTAACTTTGGCAAACCAGCTGATTTTTTGTGTGTTTGTTTTTTTAAGGAACACTCCACGCACCACAGTCATAACACATTTAAGTGGTTATAGTGTTAGGAGGCTGCAGGTGCAGTTCCATCTGTTTTTTTCTCCAATTGTTTCCAACTAGTCTGACAAAAAAAGTGGATGCATGGCTCCCAAAGCCCACCCGTCTGCCTCAGGTACTTTATCATTATCCAAATATTTGTATAAATACACGCATAATTATTGATTATTAATTACAGGGAAATTTTACATCATTATCTGTTATGTTTAAAAAAAATGTTTATTTAAAATGCAATGCAAACACTTAATATCTAGTTGTCTAGAATAAAGATATATGCTTCCCTAACAATATAACAAACTGTAAAAATTTTGATTGGTTTGAATTCAGGACAAGTTGCATAGAACAGTGAAGCAAACACGCTACCTGCATGTTTAAGGCAAATGAGAAGATGTGGTTTAAGGAGGAACCGCTACTTTAAAGAGAAATTAATCACAGAGAATATACATTTTTCATCTCTGCACCCAGCCAAGCGTGTGAATTTTAACTTTTTTTTATAATGCAATTTAAGGATCTATGGGTAAGTTTTTGATTTATTTTTTTACATTAACCACATATTGGTTTAATGGTGGAAGACACCATTATTAGACTCTCTCTAGAGTCAAAAGGATCCCTAGTGTATGAGAGAAGACAGTCCCACTGTAGTTACATGTTGTCTGTTCGCAACAATTCGCTGAAACAGCCTGGTGACCCAATATTGGCTCCTGACCTGTTGGTAATCACTGTATAGATAAAATACATGAGAATAATGAAAATGTAAAAAAAAATGTAAATTTTATTTTCTGCAAATCAGTAAGATTTGCAGTTTCTTCAGTGAGGCCTCCAAAGCTCCAGGAAGTAGATCAGCTAATCCTAGTGCTCTCAAGGCACTGATCAGCCAGTGATTTATGGGAATTGTAGTTCAGGTGTCAGCATGTTATATAGGTTTTTCAGCCCGCAATCCGTTTCATGAATGAAGCTATTTGTGGGGGGATGATAGAGGCAGGGTTAATATAGAATTATAAGTGATTTTATTAAAAGCTGTCTTTTTTAATCCCAATCGTAGATGTTGCTAGTGAGGAAATTGAAAGAGATGAGTTTATGGAACAAAACTATTAAAGCTGATCTGTAAATTAGCCTTTTTCACCAAACTATGAATTGCTGATAATAGCACTGAAAGTTACATGCAAATACGTAGCCCTTTCAATCCTGAATTACACAGACAAGCTAAGCTGTAAACTAAGTGATGTCATTACCAAGTTTTTCTAATGTCCACTATAACGGACATTACAACTGAGAGAGCGTGAAATTTAATTAATGCTGACATGAGATTAGGTTAAGTGATTGACCTTGTTCAATCTGAACATTTTATACATTTGGGCATATCAATTTGTTTTTTTTTTTTTTATTTCTAAGTATAGTTGCCTTGCAATAAAAAAACCCAGACAAAGCTGTTCTAAAGTATTCGTCTGATTTTTCAGGAAACAATGCCACTTATAGAACCGTTAATTTAAAAACAAAACAAATATATTTATTTTATCCATTGTAGCTCTAGTAAAGTGTAACACAAATTCTACATGTATGATTTGCAAATGATGCATTGGTATTGTCCCTTCTCTCATGGACTGTGCCCTATTTATAATTGTTTCCCATTGCTTCTAATGCTGTACATACTCTAAAAGTGAATGGTAATATAATCATATTAACTAAAATTATCACTTTTATTGTAAAAAATAAATTTAAAAAAGTGTTGTATCAATAAAATGACTAACAAATATATAACCCAATGCCAACGCCAATTGAACTTTTAAAAAATCCTGTGTTCTCTATATTGGAAACATCTAAAATATGAAAACATCATTTTAACGTCAACATGTTACAAATCACACCCAGCTCAAGAAACTGATGCCTAAATAAAATATTACCAATATTTAACAGGTGAAAAAGTAAGTTGATTACTCCTTTTTCTGTTGTAGCTGTGTGGCTGTCTTTGTGACGTCTGACTTTGTCACTGCAGATTTTCTCTAAACACTCAACTCTGGTCAGTTAGAACCTTAAAAGTTACTAGGCACTTCATGGGAGAGAAATACTAAGCTCTCAGTTAATAAAACCAAAAAACACGTGATGTCCATTACAGTGCACACAAGCTCTGAATGGGTTAATGGGGATACCGTCCCAGTGTAGTAAGCATACGCCAATGAGTTAATCTTGCAAGTTTGTAGGTTTCAATAAAGAATGTGGCACTGGAAAACACTTAAAGGGACAATGTAGGCATTGTAACAGATTTGTTTAACTGAATACCCTGGTTCTGTCCTTCCATTCTGCATTAAGCAAGTTTCAATGTTTTATTCTTAAACAAAAATCCCAAGAAGCCCATATTCTCTGAGTTGCTTAGGCTAATAAGGAAGCATCAGTCTGACCAGTAATGGACAGATGTGATTGGCTTAGAGTGTCTGCTGACTGATTTTAGCCTATCATGTCTCTCATCGCTGGTAAGACTCGGTATGGCTAGAAGGAAGTGTGTAATCTCTGCCTTAGCCAAACCTCCAGTGAGGGTGGTTTAACATTAAATAGAGGGACATTACCAGGGAACGCCAAGCCCTATAATCAGTAGAATGAGATGTGTCCATTTAAGATGTGATGATTCTAACTATATGTATTGAAGCATACTTTCAGTTTTAGTTGATATTCTATAAGTCTATGTGGCTTTAACATTATAGTACCAACAAAAAGTACAGTTAAAGAGGAGCAAATAAGAAATGGCTGTGATAAACATCATGCCAAAATGGACTTACTCGAGTATGGAAAGCCAGATTGGTCGAATGGTGGTGGTCTGTATTTGTTTAAAGACAAGGAGAGTTCCCCCTTTAGATACACTCGAGCTCTTATTAGTATAGATTGTGGACCAATAAAGTATTTAAAACAAATCAATATTATGCGTACAACAAAACTACACACGCAGTATTTTCCAGGACTGATTTCCTTTAAAATAAAAAATTTAAAAAAAATAAATAGATAAATTAAAATGGACATGAGCATTTAATAATACATTGTGAAACCTCTAGAAAATAAATACAACATTTCACTCTCTCACGGTAAGAGAGGATAGCAATGATTTATTCTATATTGCATCACAGTCCCCCCCAAACAGCTGAAAAGGGGGTAAAGCATCAATAACAAGCAATCAAAGCATATTAAAACACTTTACGGTATTTGTAAATCAGTCTCATAAGAAGGTTGTTAAAGAAAAAAAAAAAAAAGGTTAAAAAAATTGCAAACTTATTTTCAGGAATTAACTAAGCAGGCGATACAAACATTTATACACAACTTTTAAGGCAAAATGAAGAAATATTTACTTCTTATTTACAGGGTTTTCTACCATTTTCCTTTTAAGAATGTCCATGATATCTTAACCATAACTCACCCAAATCCTCTACATAAAAAGCTGGTACTAAGCATGTTGGAGACTGAAAGTTGAGAATAGCAGTGCTATTCAGTAAACACGGTAATTGTGCTGTATTTAAAAACTAACAAAATTAGAAAAATAAAAATGTAAAAAATTTTAAGTTAATCTGGGTACGGAAGTAAACTTCAACATGAATAATGAGTGAATGGTTTTGGATAAATGTGCACAGTCCAAATATTTTTGGGATAAAAGCACACATCCCGGCCAAAAACATCTCATGCCAATAAGCCTCTTTTTTTTTTTTTTTTTTTTAATCGCCTTCTGCCTTGAACTTGTTATATATTAACTTTGATAATTTAAGATTTTGAATGAATATTAATCTAAGTAGAAAATGCCAATTTTTCAAATATTTAATTAAGTAAAACTGATTATCTGCCTTGATTTACAAGATTTTTAGCTTCCATTTATCAGCATTGGAAATTTGCAAACTGGTGTGTGTGTGTGTGTGTGTGTGTGTCTGTCCCTCTCCCCCACCCCAGCCCCCACAAATTTTTTTTGAAATTCTCACAGGGCAAAAAGGTCAGTTCTAAATGTTTTTGTTGGTAGAATATGTCTCCCATTCCTATTCAGAAGCACATCTTGCTTTTGGGCCATCAGAAGCTTGACCACATATGTGAATATGTCATTCTCCGGTTTTGACGTTCATTTGCATACGAAGGTAGGTTGAAGACCTCGTTATTCCTGAAGCAGGACTACCAACTTTTTTTTTCTTGAATGGTGTTTACCAACACAGCCTTGAGTTTATTGTGCTCTATAATTTACTTGTAACCAACATAGCTCTGGCCTCTGGCTCCTCAATATACACACACGTGTTCCTTTTCTACAATGTACATTGTAATCAATTTGTCTGTCTCTGTAGACTTGATTTCTCGTCATATATTTCAAACTTTTACTGGATCAGCATAAAATCATTCAAAGGGCTTTTCTTCCAGATAGTCTGCTCTGTAATACTATTAAGACTACATGTATGGGAAAACACCAACAATTCCCTAGTATTTTGTTTACTGTTTTACTTAAAGCAGATTTATTGGCCTTCAAAAATTAACGTTTAGCACCAACTATGGATAATTTTTAACATTGGTCCAATAAATAGACAAAACTAAGTAGATTGGGTATTTAAGTAAATCAAAATGATGTTTCTAAACACATTGTTACCAAACACAGGTAACATTATTTTAGAAAAAAAGAAAGAAAAGGTAAAAATAAAGAGCGACACAGACAAATTCAGTTTCTGGAAATAGAACTGCAAAAAAATGAGTTAGTTGCCCATTTGGTGCTTAAGGTGTCCAAATGCTTAGGAATGCCTTTTCCAAAGTTTCTATTAATTTTTTTTTCAAATCTCTATGGTAGATGTCCGGTGTTACTCAAAGAGCATCTGCACATATCAAGTTCATCAATTCTTCACTGCTCATACATGCACTGAATCAACAGGGGATGAGAAAACACTCTGGCAACTTGCAGGATTTTTGGATTACAATGATTGGACAAAGGAGTTGTATTCCAAAAGCTGGTTGAAGGGGCAAAAAAAGTTGACTTTCCCATTGAGAGTTCTAGTCAGTTTGGCACTTCATATTTAAAAAGAGGTCAAAAAGCAGCACATCACACAGAGACGCTAGGCAACATCCATCCAAAAGAACCCCATGGATCTGCCACATTTGTAAAAGAGGAACCAATTATCAAAAATTTGGATAAGGGCGTCGGGCATCTTTGGACATTTTCACTTCCACTGCTCTTTGCTGTGATTGAGAAAACCTAATTGGGAAAAATAAATAAATAAATAAATAATTAGTGTTTATTTTATTTAAATTTAATTGACAAAATGTTTTATACAATTAAAATGTAAACATAAATGCAAATAAATGTTCCCACACTGATACATAAATAAACATTTCTTTAAATGTAATTTCTTCGTAAAGTAAAATCATCAAGGCATGTTTTTTGTGCTGCAGCGAATTAATATAAATGTTGAGTTAGTGGTACACTTTTTAAGCACAACGTGTAACACTGATTTTCATAAACTTTTCATAGTTTCCCAATCGTATCTTAAAAGGGACTCTCCAGTGCCAGGAAAACAAAGTGCCCCCCTCCCTCCCATGTTCCGATGGGGGAGACCTAATGCGCATGCGCGGCAGTGGCCGCGCACGCATTAGACCTCCCCATAGGAAAGCATTATTTAATGCTTTCCTATGGGGAAAATCTGATGCTGGAGGTCCATGAGGACATCCAGCGTCAGATAACCGACCAGTTTGGATTCTGGAAGCCCTCTAGTGGCTGCCTGGTAGACAGCCACAAAGGGTAGACTTAGAACTGCAATGTTTTACATTGCAGCACTAAGTGCAATAGGGGCTCAGCACTCAGACCACATCAATAAGCTGAAGTGGTCTAGGTGCCTGGAGTGTCCCTTTAAGAATAAACCTGCTTTGGGAGAAAAGCGGGTTTAAGGAGAAATGCATGAAAAGACGTATAATGGAGTTAATCTCTCCTTCATCTGACACGCAAGCCTGTAAATCAGAACGCGTTAAAGAGCATTATGTAGGATTGTTTCCAAAATTGCTAAATCTTACTTTTTTTACTGAAAAAATTAAGTAAAGACTCTTTACAATCGAACGGTTACAAGGTACATTGTAACAACAGTCTGCCAACTAAATATTATTTCTGGAGGTTTTTGTTTTATTTCCCATTTAAGTGATTTTTGTTATACTTTTAGAAATACACATTGATACCAACAGTGCATGTAATATGTCAAGTTTGTATTTATCCATATGACTTAAAGGGTTACTCCAGGTTAACACAGTGAAGGGGTTTAAGCATGCGTGGGATAGGCATGAGGCTATCCTAGCTAAAAGATAAGGACAGGGACTAATGAAAGTATTTAGAAAATTGGGCAGACTAGATGGGCCGAATGGTTCTTATCTGCTGGTCTCCATGACCACTTTGACCACAGTGATTTGAAGTGGTAATGGTGGTGGGAGTATGTATGTGCAGTGTTTCAGATTAAAATACTGCACATACTGAGTAAACTGTACTTCTGTGCTAGGGCTAGTTGCACACCTGGCTCACATGATTTAGACACTCAGAACTCTATTACGGGCTGCCTAATGTCAATTTTGTGCTTTAAAAAAAAAAAAACAGTAGTTAGCGCACACAGCAGCCTGTCAACTGACATATTAAACTTGCAGTGCTCCACTCCCTATCATCATCCTTTGACCTGGATTTGGCTGTGCGAGGTACTGGCTGACATCAGGAAGAGGCTTGGAAGTCAGTGCTATGAGCTTCTACAGACACTGGAGTCCAGTTAGTAAAAAAAACATTTTGTTTTATTTTTTGGCAGTGAGTAGCCAGCTTTAAAAATAGGTAAATAAAAATCTTTAAACAAAAATAAAATGACACTAGCATATTATGGCTACAATGTAACAGAGTGTTGTGCAACTTTGCTACCAAGGTCGCTACGTAAATTATTAGACCTCATTGAATATTCACTGGCTACCACTGGTCTGTTTATCTAGACTTTGTTAAGATATTCATGAATCCTAATTCAATTAACTACAAAGAATAACTTTTCTTCCAAAGATGAATTAATTGGAGGAAAAACAGCAGAGAATGTTTCTTCTATTGAGGTAGGATTATGAATATGATTTACATGTGAACTTCTAGCCTGTGATTTTGATTTGCCAAAGATTATAATGACACAGTAGACAGCCAGACTGATTAGTGGCCTATGATTGTATGCAGAAAACAATGGATAAACAAAATTATCTTAAGGCGAAAGGAATATAAATTGGGCAGAAAAAATTTGGAACAATGCGCAATATAGATTTTTCGTTATTTAGGCAAATCCATTTACAGCCTTTATTCTTCTACATTTGTAAAATCCCTAAATAATCAGAATATACCTCTTCATTAGATAAAAATAGTTTGACATGGATCATTCAAAGTGAGAGATGGCCTAGCAAGATTTCATTTCCAAAATTGTTGACACTAGATCTACATTTACCAAAGGGCTTACCACCCAAATCCAGGGTTTATTATCTACTTTCCTTTCCTAACAAGAATTAGGAAATGTGGTTGGTTAACTAAATAAAATAAAAATATAGGGGGGAAATCTGATAAACCCTGCACCTCCCTGTAAACTCAAATTTTAAGCCCCATCTTTGCCCAATAAAATAGGCCAGATTAAAAACAAAAAAGTCAAATAAATTAAAATGCATGCATTTGTAACCCACCAATGTTCTGTCACCTAAAACATTGACAGGGTTTTTTTTTTTTACTAATGGGAGAATGGTCAGAAAATCTAAGTTGGATCAAAGTAAATGTCACATTTAAGTTCAAAATAGCTGAAGTGGAAAAATTCTCTAAGTATGATTTCTCTAAGTCACGTTCCAGTTTTGCCATTTTGATTTTAATTTTTAAATTCATGTTGAATTCACCTTGAATTCCCACCAAGTAACATTAGTAGCGATAAGCACTGTTAAACGACTGACAAATGACAGTCCAATAGAGGGACAGACAAAATATTAAAAGCCGTGTTCGGAGAGTAACCAGCTGTCCTTCATTTGCTTCACGAACAATTACAAGATTAGTTTTGAAACTCAAGGGTGCGGTGTGCCTCTTACATAACTGCTTACATATTACTCTTTGTGTCATGTAAGCAGTTTATCGAAATAAAAAATAAAAGATAAGTGTTGCTTTGTAGGCTAAACAGGATTCCTTGAGACACCATGGATTTTCAAGAAAAATAAGTTCCAGTTTGCGTTGATTTGTGTTGGATAATGAGCAACATAAAATGATACATAATTACATAAAAGACAAGGCTTTCTAAGTTCATTAATAAAGTTCACATTATGTTACGTTTCACAATTTCAAAAAACAAAATGTAAAGCAAAATAATCGTGTAAGGATACTTCAAACAACCAATTATCAAGGCTACAGATTGGAGATTGCAAAAGCTATCATAGAGAATCTACTTTATAGTACAGTAGCTTTTCAGACTACATACAATTCTACTATCATTAACTCACCAATTTATATTCTTTATCCAGATACCCAACTATGCGTGGTTTTTGTTACACTGTGAGGAAAACTTTGGTTGGGCAATATGCTATCAAAGTTAAAGTCATCATCCATAAGGTGGTCATTCCGGATTATGGACTCCATATCACAATCCAAGCTTTCAATCAGCATGTCATCCAAGTCACTAGGAAGGATTTCTTGGTGGATTGAGACAACTCTTCCGTAGCCATTGCAGCTATTAGCAGGGTATGGACTCATGCCTGCCATTTGAACGGATTGAGTCATATGCACTTGTGATGACGTTTTCACTGTTGACAAGCGGCTAATGCCAGAGCTGTGTGTCATAGCACCCACTGTATGGGGCAAGGCACGACCATTGATTGCTGATGGCTGACTATGTGGCTGATGTGAGTGGGGAAGGGTTGTCATTTTGTTGTGGCAGGATTGGCTGACATATGTCGGCATTATAGAGTTGGACGCCATCATTGCATTCTGTCCCAATACTCTGTTGCTGGCCTGTGAAACTGTAGGATCTACTGTAGTCAAAATATCAGTATGTGGTGGTGAGTCGGATGTAAGTAGTTCCTTTAAAAGTCCAGGAACATTGTATGGACCAACACCTCTGTAGGCTGGTTTACTGTCTGGTACGGTTTGCATAGGCATCTGTGAGATGGAGTTCATACTAGCTTGAGCATAGCTGTACTTTCTGTAATCGGGGCTGGGTGATCCAATGCTTGTGTTTGGGGATGGTAATAAATAACCTGATTGCTGTATCATTGAAGCAGGTGAGGACTGTGTTGAAACAGTCAATGAGGTGTTTGGTGACAAGAGGTTTAGGTTATCCAAGAGATTCTCCATGTTTTCAGAGTTTGCCACCTCTGAAAGGCTTGGCAAAGTAGAAGCTAATTTGGTTCCTGGCGTGGGGTACACCAAAGAATGTACATCTCCGTCCCCAAGGTCATCCTGTTCTGGCATGATCGGAGAAAGTCTACCACTGATTGTGCTAGCGTTGGAACTCGTTCTAGGACGAAATGTGCTCCATGCTTCAAAGTCATCATTACTGTGGGAATTTGGGCTCCCGGGCCATTTGGAGAACTGTGATCCAGGGCTGTCTCCACTCCCATCTTGGCTTGAGGGCATGGAGGCTTTTTTCTTGGCAGCCCTTCCTCTGCTTTTGGTAAATTTACTGTTGTTGTCCATAGAAGCGGCTCTTCTTCTAGGCGATTTGCCATTTTTACCTCCTTCAGGGTTGAGTATCCACCATGAACTTTTACCTGTTCCTTCATTTTGCACTCTCACAAACTTGCTGTGCAGGGACAAATTATGACGAATGGAATTCTGAAAACAAACAAACAAAAAAAAAAATCGAAGTCAAAACTTGTTCAATCTAATAAAAAGAATAAATAACTCATTAACCTAAGTACATGCTACCCATAATTAAAAAAAAACATTTATTTGGTCTTATATAGGATATAAATATTACAATACAAAGGGATTTGTCTAATTACTGCAACTCAAGGGGTTATGAATATGCAATAAACCTGTAATTTGCACAACATTTTGCCATAAATACAAAACATTAAAGAAACACTATAGTCACCAGAACAACTACAGCTTAAATGTAGTTGTTCTGGTGTGTATAGTATGTCCCTTCAGGTTTTTAATGTAAACGCTGCCTTTTCAGAGTAAAGGAAGTGTTTACATTGCTCCCTAGGAACACCTCTAGTGGCAGTTACTCAGACAGTCACTAGAGGTGCTTCCTGGGTCAG